ACTCTGCTTGCGCCGGGGTGTATCGCTCTGATGACGCCGGAGATTGGCGCTGTAGTCGCGCCTATGAGCGGCGCTCTGGTGACGCCGAAGAGTAGCGCCCTAGTCGCGTCGGTGTGTGGTGGTTTCGTAGATGCTGTTGGCGTTGCTCTGCTGGCGGCGGTGAGAAGCGCTCTTACTGATGTCGCACTGCTGACGGCGGGTGTCGCCTGTACCCGGTTTCACGAGAGGCAGTGGTGAGAGCGTGTGGCGCTGCCACTGGGAAGGTGACGTCCAGCCCGACGCTCAAATCGGCGCAGATGAAGTCACTTCTTACCAGTAGCCGTCTGTTCACGACCACAGTCTCGTGCTGACTGACCGGTTTATCGTCGTGCTGCTCCTTTAATAGGCTGTGTGCTTGATGTTGCGTTGTTGTGCGGCTACATGCTGCGGTGTGATGTTGCGTTGTCATGGCAACGAAGACGTTTCGGTGACGTTGACATGTGTTACTGTGCCTTTTTGCGTGTCTGGTTGCGCTGACTTGTGTTGCTGCGGTTTATTGCGCGACTGGTTGCTCTGATTTGTGTTGCTGTTCTGTGACTGGCTTGGTTGATGGTGTGGGCTAAATTCCCTATGGAGATTTAGTCCATGTGTATAATTACCCGATAGTCCCTGGTATTGAACCTCAGCCGGGACTTGCATGCGCGTGCGGCGAGGTCTTTGAGGCTCCAGCGGATTCTTTCAGACATTTGTGTGTTATTTGGTAGTGGTGGCGTTGTTGGGTAGTGGAGACTGCGGTTGTGACGGTGGCGGCTTTGCGCCTTGGCGTCCATGCACGTGCTGTTGCAATGTGGCCAGTATTTGTGCCCACTTCAGGGCCGCCATACCGGCTGTGAACGGCTCGGCGATACATCCTGGTGAATCTTTGCCTTGCCCGATGAAGCGCATGAAGCGGTGGCCTCTAGGGTATATAGCCCGCAGTCCCCATCGTTTTATTGCTGTGGGACCCTCTGGTGGACTTGTTGTACCTCGAAGCCCACCTGGTCGTACCTCTGGATATATTCCCATTGCAGGAAATTTGCCCATGTTTGTATTGCGTGGGCGACTCTGCCCCTCATCCTGAAGTCTACGGTCCACAGGTAACGCTCCTGCCAACACCCCATGTCGAGGAGATGGTGGGTAGTCTCCCGGTTCGCCAGGACCAGCAGATACCAATACCCGGCCGTGTAGTGGGGCGCTAGAACTGCCCGTTTGCCGAATAAGTCCGTCTTCTGTACCCAGCGATGGATGCGACGATAGCTTTTTTCCGGGTTCTCCTTTTGCGTCAACTTCCATATTGAAAAAGGGCTAAGTATGCTGCCCCGTGGCCCCAGCTCGGCTTCTACCCCTCCCGCCCATGCATCTATCATCGTGTCCGTCAACCAGCGCGTTCCCACCTGGCCCTGGCGGGAAAGTCGGTACCGGACCTTTATTCTCCCGTGATGTTGTCTCCTCCCCTGAGAAGAGTTGGATGGTCGGTGACATTTCTCCCGTGATGTTGTCTCCTCCCCTGAGAAGAGTTGGATGGTCGGTGACATTTCTCCCGTGATGTTGTCTCCTCCCCTGAGAAGAGTTGGATGGTCGGTGACGGTGTTCGCATCGCGGGAAGCGAAGGCGACGTGTATAGTGACGATGACGACGCATGTCTCGTCGACTGCAGCGTGGGCGTTGACCGCACGTATGGCTGCGGCGCGGCGTGCGACGGCAGTGCTCGTTAGCTCCGCGTGTCTCGCGGCGGCGTCGGCGGTAAACTGTTGGCGTATTCCCCTCTCTTGGAGGTAGCGTTGCCACGTCGTACTGGTGAACTGAACGCCGTTGTCCGAGATGAGTATCTTCGGAACGCCAAAATCTTGCTAGGATTCGTTCTCTGAACTCCACCCACTTGCTGAAGCGCTCGAAGAACACCAGTAGCATAGTGTTGCCATGTGTGAATCCGGGTAGGGGTCCGAATACGTCTGTGCAGATCGTTGCTAAGTGTTCCGAAGCCAACTGTGAGAGAATTTTCACTGCGGGTTTCAGTTATCCTTCTTTGTACTTTTGGTAGGAGTCGCACTGGCGTATACATACAGACGTACAATAGTATCGGTTGGCGATCCATGCCAATGTCCGACGGATGCCCATGTGGTCAGCGCTGGGCACGTCATGGTTCTCCTGTAGCACCCGCTGGCGAAGAGGGGTTGGTACACATAACTTCCAGGGTACTGCTTCCTCATCCTGGCTTGGGCATGGGATATGGCGGTAGTGGTGTCCGTCCTGCACCATATAGTTCGCGTATTTCTTCGGGTTGGTGCGCATTTTTCCCAGCCGCTTATGCCACCACGTGCATCGTGGTTCCGTTGTTATCGCTTGCCGGATGGTCTCTAGTGGTCGCCGGGATAGTGCGTCCGCGACCAGGTTGAGCTTCCCTTTTCGATATTCTATGTCAAACACGTGCTGCTATAATTAAAGGACCCACCTTGCTATGTAGCCGGAAGGGCTCTCGATCGAGTTCAGCCACTTCAGCGATCACTCTAGGTAGGGCCTCATATTATGGATTCCCCAAACTATGGCGAGACATTGCTTCTATGTACGAGTAGTTGGCCTCCGCTTTGTTTCCGTTTAAGAGTGTCGAAGCCTTCCTGGTGCTCGACTCCCAATTTCCAGTGTTTACCCTTTGACGACGGTACCACGAAGCTATCCTGAGGTACTGGCGTAATTCCTTCACATCGGACGGTGGCTTAAGTTCTTGGATCGCAGCTTCCTTATAGGGGTCGGTGTAACCACATGATCCCAGTATCGGAGTTCCTTCTTGAAGAAGTCGCACTTCTCAGGGTTGGCGCATTGTAGTCGTGATAGTACTTCGCGTAGGTTTTGTACGTGCTCCTCGAAGGTGGAGCCTATGGAAATAATGTCGTCGAGGTAGGCGAAGGCGTGCGGTTCCATTTCTGGGCCGATGGCCTGGTCGAGTGCCCTCTTAAATGTCTCTGCATGACGCGCCATTGAGGCCGTATGTGGGCGACTGTTCGGTGACAGGCGTATCTGCCAGTAGCCGTTTTTGAGGTCTAGGTTGCTGATGTATTTAGCCCGTCGTAACTTGTCCAGTATCTGTTGTATTCTAGGTAGGGGGTATGCGCCGGGTACTGATCGAGTTGCCGATAATCCACGCACAGCCTCCACTTATCATTTTTCTTCCGGGCCAACACGATCGGTTGACCATGTGTACTATAGGAGGGTTCGATGCACCCCTTGGAAAGAAGCTCGTCGATCTCTCCGTTGATGATGGCTTGCATCGCTGGGATATGCGGGAAGTACCTCTGCTTGATGGCGGTTGTCGGTCATGACAATCCTGTGCTCCGACACATTGGCCCATCCGCTCAAGGGTCAAACTTCTGTAGCTATTACGCTAGGAAGTCGCGTATTCGTGTTGCTTCGTCTATATGGTTACTGTGGAGCATCACCGCGGAGGTGTATTCGTTGACGCTTCCACTGGGGTCGCCGTCCTTCGGTGTTTTTTCTTTGCCGCCCTCGGCGGGATGTTATTGCTTATTCCGGGTGGTATGCTATCCTCCGTGGTTTGTGAGGTAGCGGACGGTACCGGTGCCTGCTGTATGGTCGGTTCGGTGAGTACGATGTGTTGGCCGCCGCAGGATACTGTGGCTTACATGCTTCCCAACGTGTATGAGGTCATCTATTGCCCTTGGCATGATGTATAACTCTGTGTGGTGCGCCGACAAACCTCGGTTTTCAAGGCCTCATAGAGATTGCTACTGGTACCGTCGGCCATGTGTATCTCGAGAGCTACCCTTATCCTTTCTCCGCTCCCTGCGGACGCCATATATTCCGCTAAGGTGGTTGATATGAAACTCTTCGAGGCGCCGGTATCTATGACGGCCTCGGCTATTTCCCCACCCAAGTAGACTAGGGCGTATAGTCGTCCGTGTTCCTGACGCGTAGTTATTGGCGTTTCGGCGCTGCATTCGGTGGGCTCACCACTCCTTGTTTTTGGTGAAGCCTTCCACCGTTTTCCTGACGCCGGCGACAGCATTAAATTGTACGGACACATGCATACGTTTCTAGGGTCAAATCTCTGGTTCGTAGATGGGCCAAGACGCTGTGTGTTCATCGCTGACTGGTGTGATGGAACTGGAGGGTGTTGTGTCGTCCGCACCGGTGGGGTTCGATGAGATGGTTCACCTGCTTGTGTGGTGGTCCTCATCGGATTATCGCCGGTGACATGCCTCGCAACCTCTCGTCGCGATGTTTCCGCCATCCGTCTATGGCCTTCGTGGATACCCTCCGTGAGCATCAGTAGTTCCGACAGCGTGGTCCCACCGTCGGATGTATAACAAGTTGTCGGAGTGGCTGTTGCGGAAAATTCTTTCCAACCGCTGTTCGCTGCTATTCCCGGCGAGTCGCATCAGGTTTTGTATCGCGATCACATAATCCTTATACTTCTCCCGTGGGTTTTGCCTTCTCTGCCGTGTGTCGTCCTCGAGGCGTTCGAAATACTGGGCTGGTAGAAAGAAACGTAAGAAGTCCCGCTTGAAGGTCGTCTAGTTTCCACAGTGTTCGTTGTTGCCGCGGTACCAGTGAAGGGCGGTGCCGTACAGTAGTTCGGGTATGGTTTTCGGCAAGAGGCATACACCTCGGCCAGTTCCTGCAGTCGCTTCACAAAAGCCAGCGGGTCTCGTCCGACATCGTATTTTGCTGACCACTTTCTTACCTCGTCGATGATAGGTGCAAACGTGTGGGTCAGCGTCTGGTTTTCAGGATTTGTCGTACCTGCGTTCGACCCGACGGTTATTAGCGGCGGGTGCTGGTGCGTTGATGGCTAGTGCTGGTGTGATAGCAGCTGGAGCTGGTGTAGCGGTACCGCAAACTGGATGTGTGTTTTCATAAAGGTAGTCGTACTCCACGCACGTTCATCCGGTGGCACTGGTGTCTTCTGTTCATCCTCGTCTTACGAGGGAACCTCACTGTCTTTGTTGTAGGTGAGTAGTGCTCGAATGTCGTCGACAACTGGCGCTCTGAATAGCGCTTTTGTGACGCCGGAGAGTAGCACCCTAGTCGCGTCGGTGAGTGGCGCTCTCATAGGCGCTGTTGGCGGCGGTGGGTAGCACTTTTGTTGACGCCCTTGATGTCGCTGTGCTGACGGCGGGTGAGCGGATGTCGCCCGTATGCGGTTTCAGGAGAGGCTGTGGTGAGACCGTTTGGAGCTTGTGGCGCTGCCACTGGAAAGGTGACATCCAGCCTGTCGCCTAATCCAGCGCATAAGAAATCACCCTCACTTGGAGCTGTTACAGAAGTGGAATCAAGCCATGAAGTCAATTATTGCTTATGGTCGTGTGTTCATGACCCCAATCTCGTGCTGACTGACTGGTTTTCCGTCGTGCTGCTCCTTTAATAGGCTGTGTGCTTGAAGTTGCGTGGTTGTGCAGCTACATTTGCTGTGTGATGTTGCGTTGTCATGGCAACGAAGAGGTTTTCGGGTGTCGCTATGACTTGTGTTGCTGTGGCTTGTTGCTGTTGCTTGTTGCGTGCCTGGTTGCGCTGACTTGTGATGCTGTGGTATATTGCTCGACAGACTGCCCTGCTTTGTGTTGCTGTTGTGTGACTGACTTGGTTGGTGGTGTGAGAGTTTGTGTGGGATAAATTCCCCATGGATATTTAGTCCTCACACGTCATATGTCCGGTATCACGCCAATTTTCCAAAATTTCAAATAATTTACTTCTTTTCAAGGTAAAGGAGATTTAACGTTATATGAAAAGTGGACGTAATTTTAATCCGATTTCCACGCCCATTTTCCAAAATTTTATCATAAGCGTATTTCTTGGTAAAGAATTGTTACAAACATTAATTTTGAATAAATTAGATTCAGTATTTAATGCTTTATCGAAGACTTCGTTTTTCTCTAAATTACCGTTATATGGGATGTGGGGTCCGATTTTAAAAATTTTCAGCCATTTGGTATGTTGTACCAAGGCCAACAACTGCGCCGAGTTTGGAAGAAATTAGTGTAGCGGTTAGCAAGATATACACATGTAGTCATAAGTGGGCGTGGCTAGGCCCATTTTCCAAAAATTTATAATACTCCTATTTTTCGTCTAGAAATCATTGTAAATGTAAATTTTTTGTGAATAAGTTTCAGTAGTTACTAAAATATCACAGTTTTCTTATTTCTGAAAACTACCGTTATATGGGAGGTAGGCGTGGTTATTGTCCGATTTTTCCCATTTTCAACACCATCCGTCCTACGCCCGCGTACCAAGTTTCGTTAAGATATCTCAATTTTTACTCAAGTTATCGTGTACATAGACGGACGGACGGACGGACAGACAGTCACCACTTAATCGATTTCTCTTTTGATGCTGACCATTTATGTAGACATTTTTCTATATCTATCTCGATCCGGTTTGCCTGTTACAAACAACCGTTATGTGAACATAGTTATAATACCCTTCTGCACAAGTGGGTATACAAATTTTTCTGAGGTAATTCCTAGCTTTCAATGACACATTTTCTTCAAAAACGGTATTTTTTTTTTAAATAATAGGAGCGAATTCTTCGATTGAGTTTGACTTCAATNAATAATTTTCAACGATTTGCTTGTACATACCGAGTTTGGTACATATTGTTCGAACATATATGTGATCATAAGTGGGCGGTGCCACGCCCATTTTCCAAAATTTTATCATAAGCGTATTTCTTGGTAAAGAATTGTTACAAACATTAATTTTGAATAAATTAGATTCAGTATTTAATGCTTTATCGAAGACTTCGTTTTTCTCTAAATTACCGTTATATGGGATGTGGGGTCCGATTTTAAAAATTTTCAGCCATTTGGTATGTTGTACCAAGGCCAACAACTGCGCCGAGTTTGGAAGAAATTAGTGTAGCGGTTAGCAAGATATACACATGTAGTCATAAGTGGGCGTGGCTAGGCCCATTTTCCAAAAATTTATAATACTCCTATTTTTCGTCTAGAAATCATTGTAAATGTAAATTTTTTGTGAATAAGTTTCAGTAGTTACTAAAATATCACAGTTTTCTTATTTCTGAAAACTACCGTTATATGGGAGGTAGGCGTGGTTATTGTCCGATTTTTCCCATTTTCAACACCATCCGTCCTACGCCCGCGTACCAAGTTTCGTTAAGATATCTCAATTTTTACTCAAGTTATCGTGTACATAGACGGACGGACGGACGGACAGACAGTCACCACTTAATCGATTTCTCTTTTGATGCTGACCATTTATGTAGACATTTTTCTATATCTATCTCGATCCGGTTTGCCTGTTACAAACAACCGTTATGTGAACATAGTTATAATACCCTTCTGCACAAGTGGGTATACAAATTTTTCTGAGGTGATTCCTAGCTTTCAATGACACATTTTCTTCAAAAACGGTATTTTTTTTTAAATAATAGGAGCGAATTCTTCGATTGAGTTTGACTTCAATTCCGCAAATGTGCCGTGCTTGAACCTCTTTGTAACATAAATGAAGCAAACCAGATAATTATGCTAACGGGCAGGAAAATTATACCAAACCCCTTCTGCTCCATTTATTGAGTTTTGGGAGTGGTCAGTATTGTGCACTTTGAACATTTGTTCAAATTCAACATTAATTACACATACACATATTTTGCCCGCAATTTTGATTACAATATGTAGAACACTGCACACTTCACTCTCGTTTCGAATTTTTGAAAGCGTTTTCTAAGCTATTTAGTGGTTTACCACTTCTTAAAGGCACCTTATATTGTGAAAAAAATATGCGCATATCTATTCCGAAGTATTTTTTTTCGTAAGGAACGCCTGTTGGCTTAAAATTACCAAAATTACATTTTTTTTAATTTTTTACATTTGTTACAAATGTCTCTATTGTAAGAGTTGCGAAATATAAATATTTTTGTTACCAAGTGTTAAAATAATAATGTAGAATATTAATTTATTAAATTAATACTTAGTAAAAATACAAAATTTAAGTCAACATTCATCTTTAAAAGGATGTATCACAAAGTGTTATTAATTGTTTGCAAGCATATTATAATTTTCATAAATTTTGAGACCAATAAGGGACTTATGGCGGCCGCCGTAGCAGAGTGATTACGGGTCCGTACTTCCATTCAGTAGGACCAAGGTAAGATCTGTGATCAGGGCTGCCAACTTGGCTCAAACCGTGCCCATTTTGGCCCTTTTTTACTTCATATGTTACTTAATTTTTCAATTTGGCACAAAGTGCCGAAATGGCACTTTTTGAAAAATAGCAATATTTCAATATAAATTTGTGATATTCTTTGTGTGTACTTCTTTTTCTCAACTAACCTTTTCTAATTTCTATAGTGTACGCAACTGGTTTATCTTACTTAGGCATTGGACTTTGGTTTATGAATGTGTTTCTAATTTTAATGCTAAATGAGAAGAATTGAAAACAATGTCATCTTTTTGGCACTTTTATTTTTCTGTTTGGTATATTTTGGCACTTTTTTATCCCCAATATGACACTTCACAGCTAAGTATAGTTGGCAGCCCTGTCCATGATGAGCATAACCCAAAATGGCAGTCGCACCTTAGCAGGCAATGACAAAACTTATACTATGTTCACGTTGAGCCTTTAACTCGAGTTTATGGGCCATTTTGGAGTTTAACTCTCCCTAAACACAACTTTTATTTGGAATTTATTACCTTGTTTGTACCTACGCAAGAACCGCATTAACCAAAAACCGATTTTACTGAACACATATTATTTTCAAGAGTTTATACCTGTGTCTTTATAGCGCACTCGCTGAAACCGTATTCAAAAGTAAGCAAAATTTGCTGTTTTTATTGGATATTTCTTTAATACATAATTTGCACGGTTTACCGAAATGGAAGCGAACAATAATTCAAATTTATTGTAATAATGATTACAATTTAGAACGGGCTGTATAAAGGAAATCAGCCTATTTTCACTTCGCGTCAAATGAGTGATGTGTTTATACCTGTTTTGTAACCGATGTGAGAAATAAAAAACCGATTTGAAAACCAATTCGAGTCAATACACTTTTCAATTTCAACGCGTTTTGAAATTCAGTTTATGCATCCGTTTTGAATCACAGCGAACTGGGTCAAAGCGCTTTATGTGTCGCTATAAACAAGGTATATGATAATGCAACCATTTTTTTTTTACCGAATTTGGTTTGTGTCTTTAACAGGTCTATGCTGCACGTTACCGAAGATTTTGTTACCGGAAAATTGTATTACCAAAAAATGTTACCAGTTCTTGTCACCGCGATTCTAGGTACTTTGGTAATGCAGTTAAAATATTCAGCAATTCAGCTATGAAGAATTGTGCAAATCCTGGCATTGCATATTTCACGGGGCAATAATTTGTTACCAGCTTATGAGATGGCAACAAAATTTACCGGTTACAAGAGTATACAGAATGCGAAAAGGGTTTAAAAATTTACAGGAACTTTATTTACCGGTTACAAACTTTTTATTACCAGTGCAGAATAGACCTGTAAGTGTCCAAACCGGCAACCAACTTGCCGATAGTTAGCTTGTTCCCGTACTGCAAGATTTAATGAGAAATAGTCCGAAGTCGTGCCGTGCACATGTGTTTAGAATATCAACATATAAATATATAAAATAGAAAAGTTTAACTTTAACCTCTTTTATTGGCTTTAGTTTTTATTTGCGTCAAATAATCTTACTGTGGTTGCAATCAGCATGAAAAGTTCTATTTATGTATATCTTTTTCATGGATAAACCGTTGGTTTTCTACACCACGCCTACTTTGGACTATTTCTGTCTAAATTCTGGAGTACGGGAACAGGCCAAATGTGTAAAAGAAAAAGTAAACAAACAAATGTCAAATTAAACTCTGAGTTTCTTAAACACCCCAATAAGCACACTTGACAGTTGTTAATAAACTCAAAACGTTAAACTCGAGTTAACCCTCGTCCGTGCGACTAGGTACAATTGTAACTTTTGTGTTTTTAAATTACAATAACTTTTTTTCCAGAAAACTTAGAGGGCTGGATCTTCGTGACATCTCTACATTTTTGTTGCGCCACATGTTCCCTTAATTTAAAACAAAATGGGCCACTATTTTCTGAAATATATTGCCGAGTTAAATTTACACCCACGTCAGAGCGCATAGGTACAATTGTACCTTCATATATCTGGTATGAAGAAAAAAGCAGATTATTATTATTTTTATATAATTTTGTTATAAAAAAAGGAACACAAACGGAGCTAATTCATATTAGTAGCGATAATAAAATATATAAAAAAGTAACAGGCGAGACAATTCAATTTAGAACAACGATTTAGAATATACATTTTGAAATTTTTAGAGAGTTTCTTCGCAAGAAATACACGTCTTTTTTGAAACTGAATGTTCATCACAAATTGGATAAGCACAAGATATGCAAAGCATTCGAGTTTAGCGTTGTTTCCTATTTGAGTTCCGACAGATATAGCAACTTCCAGTGATAGGGGAGGCTCCGCGGCTGAGGTAATTGAAGGACAGCTGCTGTACATCGGCGTAGCCAGAATGAAATTTAGGAGGGGGAGGGGGGGGNTTTGCACTTCGAGATTCAACTGAAGGCATGCATAGCTGATTGGAGAGATCTTTTAGAAACTTTCGACGTTGACTTTTTCCCTGAAGTCGGGGGTTATGATTTTTGTCGATTATGTAGGATGCTAAACCAGTATTGTGACCGCAAGTAGCAGCAAATATAAACTGAACCAAATAAACATCGCATTATTTATGTTACGGTCAGGGCTGCCAACTATCCTTAGCTATGTGGTCCCATATTAAGGATAAAAAAGTGCCAAAATGTGCCAAATAGAAAAATAAAAGTGCCAAAAACGGTGCCATGCTTTATAACGCTTCCCATTTAGCTAAAAAAAAGAACCACACTTCTAAAACAAAAGTGCAATGCTAAAATAAGGTGAACCAGTTGAATAACCTTTAGAAATTAGAAAATTTTAATTGAGAAAAAGAAGTACACGCAAAGGATTTCACAAAAATATATTGAAATATTGTATTGTACTAGTATGAAAAATATTGAGTACATACATATGTATGTATAGAGGGTACTAATTGTTATGGTGTACTCGTGCATTTTTCGGAGTGCATGTTATGCAGGCTACTGTGTTTCTATTTTTTACTTTTTTTTTAAACAATCGTCATTACAAAAAATTTCTAAACATGTTCAAAATGACGTGTAATGATGAAATGGTATCAGTTTTTATAAAAAAATTAAACCCCCAGTAAAAATTCATATCAAAACTATATGAAGGTACAATTGTACCTCTGCGCCCGGTTAGCGTTGTAAGAATATGCGCCCGGACGAGGGTTAATATTTCAACGTGAACATAGTATTAGTGTATTTCTGCCTTAAAAGAGCTTATCATAAAACCATTTGCCGTTCGGAGTCAGCGTAAAAATGTAGGTGCCTCCACATGCGTGACAACAATAGAACTCACCCCTCAAATTTGAGGAGAAGCTCGGCCGAATATTTATAAAAATATTTTAGTGCCAAAAATTTATTTGTTTACTTGTTTTAAGGGAGATGGCAATCTTCTTGTTTGAGCCGTTTCAAATTTGTAATTTTCAAAATTACTCAGTGAGACCAAGTTTAATAAAAATGTAGGGTTGCATGCCCATAAACACCAAATAAAAGTGGTGTTTAAAGAGAGTTTAACGAACATTTTTCGTATGGTAAACTCTGAGTTTGTGAGTGGTGTTTAATGATAAACTCTAACTCTAGTTTATGGCTCAATGAAACGTAATATAAAAATATAAAGATATTTACCTGACGTTTCAGAATCCAATATTGATTTATACCACACAATATTAGAATTTAAAAGCCTGTATAAATTGTTTTTGCACGCAAAGAACAAGCCAAATCCAACCAATGGACCTCAGATACCAAATTCTTGCGCTAAATTCGGGCGCTGGTGATATATTAACAATGGCGTATCTCAGAGGTACTACTAATCTTCGATATAAAGGCGTTACTTTTTAACTGGGGGTAGTTCTGGAAATTCGTATCTTGGCCAGCTAGATTGTTCAAGCACCAGTATGCCCGACGTTAAGAACATAAGTCCTTTTTGTGTTGCAGGATTAGCGGGATGTGTGATGCAGTATTAAAATTTCTTCAAATTAAACTATATTATAAGCAATACAACAACGAGCTTTTATTTGTTAAGAAAACGTATTAGTAAAATAAGACTTCAAGACGACCTTTTTTAGTACAACGTCAATAATTAAGTAAAGATAAAGCAAGGCAATTTCAAATATAACTTCATCATTTACTTTTAACAGACATAAAACCCGATTAGAATTAGTAAGGATATCTGCAGCCGTGATGGGAATCGAGTTTTCGTATGCAGCGGAAACAGCGTTTGTTTCACCAACTTTATTGAAAATCGGCATTGAGCATCAACACATGACGTTGGTTTGGGCATTATCACCTTTAATTGGATTCTTTGCTTGCCCTTTCTTAGGTTCAATGAGCGATCGCTGCAAGCTAAATTTAGGTCGAAGAAGGCCATTCATAGTATTACTATCCATGGGAGTTATTTTTGGTAAGTCACGAAAATTATTTTAATAAGCTTTTAGCAAAAACAAGTAATTCTTAAGCAAGAAACAAAACCGAGTTCAATTGTCATATACAAATTTAAGATTATCGTTAGTTGCATCATGATCCAATGATCGGATTTACACCAAATTAGTACGGGACCACCTGTATGGTAACACATTTCCATTAAAGAAAAGAATTATAGGAATCGGTTGACGTGGTTCAAAGTTATGCGGTAACATACGTAAAAAAAATATTCCAACGAATTGATAACCTTCTCCTTTTTGTGAATTCGGTTAAAAAGGAAAAAATGCCTGTTCCGTCAGGTGGGATCTCCCCGCCCCACCTGCGAGTCTCGCATAAGCAGCCGAGGGCGCTGCGCTGATTCCTAACAACGACCCTTTAAAGCTGTGACAGACGGCAAAGCCTATGCATATAATCTGGCGCACATATGCGCATAAAAATTCTACCCTTACAGACGGCAGTAATGCGGATAAACGAGCCGCAAGGTCGTGGGTTCGAGTCCCACGGCCAGTAAAATTTTCATTTATTTCGTTTTAATTCTTTTTTTATAAGTTCTATATTTTTTTACGTTGATTTCGGTTAGTTGTTGTTGACTTTTTAATAAAATTCAACTCTAAGATTATAAATTAACTAATAGTAAAATAAAAAATATGATATAAAATAAGGCAAGTGAAAATAAAATAAAGTTGATTTAAAAATATAAATCACATAAAAAAAAAACATAAAATAAATATTAAATACAAAAAAAAATTTCCCAGGCGCTTTAACCAAGGATCGAACCAGGCTACAGGCTTGTAGCCCGCAACTCTCACCACTCGGCTACCGCGGACGCGAAACTCGCCTGCTTTGTTTGCTTACTTGTACAAGTTCCAGTGTTGTCATCAAAAATTCCCCGGATCCGAGTTAATTCCCAAAAATTTCGTGCATTTGTTTGGCTGCTTATGCGCATTTTAAAGAAAATGTATGANTCAAATATTGCGAAAAACCGTGTTTTTACTCTTAGAGGGCAGAATATCTTAAAATTCTGACATGGTATAGAAATTCTGCAGCTAGATTGGTATTCAGCACCGAAGAATCTACAAAAACCGATGCACTCAGGTGGCAAAAAAAGTTAAAATTTTTCGAACTGTGTAATCAATCAATAATCANGGATCGAACCAGGCTACAGGCTTGTAGCCCGCAACTCTCACCACTCGGCTACCGCGGACGCGAAACTCGCCTGCTTTGTTTGCTTACTTGTACAAGTTCCAGTGTTGTCATCAAAAATTCCCCGGATCCGAGTTAATTCCCAAAAATTTCGTGCATTTGTTTGGCTGCTTATGCGCATTTTAAAGAAAATGTATGAGTCAAAGCAAATAAAGGCTCAGTGTTGCCAACTTTTCAGTTTCAAAAAGCACCAAATCTTGGAAGAGAAAGAGCGTTTTACCGCACTAAAAGCACTAAATTTTTTTTTAAATCAAAGGATACTCTTTTTCATAACAGTTTGTGGTAAACAAAAGTAAAAAAATATACAATATTTACATGTATAAATAAATACACATTCATGCTTGCCAAGTAATACCGAAGTACTGCACATTAAAACTGGTACATCTGGAGAAGGAACAATCGAATCCCAACAAACGAAATTGAATTTTAAAGGGGAAGAGTAATACTTAATGATACCCTAAGTAGAAATGAGCGAAAAA